CTAGTGAACAAACAACAAGCCTCACCTGATCGCTGCTGCATACGTTTGAAAAAAGAATACCACTGTCGCAGTACCCAGATACGAATGTTGCGATCGTAGCCAGCAGTCGCCTACAAATTATATGCACAAAGAAAACGAAATGTGATGCATAAATCCAATTCAGGGAGCCTGAGTGAGGATGTGAACTACGGCGGGTAAATGCGAAACGCATAGGTCACTTGAAGATGATGAACAGAATGAGGGGCCACGAAAACCGGCGACATTAAGCCTGCCTTTGTTTCAGACAAATTGCAGTCCATGATTGCCTGATTATACCCAAGATAAAAATATGCACCGAGAAGGTGAGACGTCCCATTCTGTTCACGTAAACAACTACGGTGTAATGTTTTCAACGGAGATGAAGGGACAGACTTATTTTAAAAAGATATAACCGACATGAAAACAATAAAATAACACACAAAATATCAAAAAGTGTACGATGAAACAAACAAAAAGTTATCATTCTTATTATTTACCGTAAGTGTCACTCTGCTTTGTATTCTACCCCCACCCCCGGTCTTCTGTTATTCTTGTTGTTGCGTTGGCAACAAGCCTGCTCTAAGGCCGGTGATTATATGGATAAACCAATGATTACAATACACCAAAATGACAACAATGGGAAGAATAGGAAGTCCAGTTTCAAGAGTGCCGGTGCATGTTGCATAAAGCCAGGGTCCCCAAATGAGTCGATCTCAGTGATACATTATACTGATCGACGTTGCTCACTTTTTGACAAAATTACTGGTTGCCATAACAGCATTGAATATCCTGTTTTACATAGCTCAATTTAAAAATATTTCTATGTGTATCATTTCGTGTTGTTATCAGGAACTTAGTATACACTTCGAAAATTTCTATCTATCAAGAAATAATGATATTTTAAAAAATGCATTTCATTCGTTGTTAGAACTCGTCAGCAGTGCGCAATTCTGGGGCCTTATCAGAACAATAATCGTGAACCGTCGGTTGGGGAGTGGACATCTTCGACCGTGAACTGGCCCGTCGACAGCGAACACCTAGAGGTCATGGCCCAATCAACTAATTAGGTGATTTGTATCGTTTCGACTTCCTTCGCGATTGTTGGCGGTCAGGGTCCCGGTAGAGTACCAATGAGGACGAAACAGATGTTCGATGTTCTTCGTTGGTTATCACAGAGATATTTTACACATCGAGGGAAATAACAAATTGCGAAGAGGCAAAATCTACATCCAAGAACATGACCCATGTATCGTATCTGTAAACAATCAAACGGACCAAACCCAACACATTGATCTAAGTGGATGGATTTCGCGCGATCTTTTGAGTTCACCTAAAAATCATAAAATAGCCGAGAGCGACTGGTCGAATTTAATCCACTGTCAAACATGGTGAACATTGCATGTGAATGAACGCAAGCGAGAATCTCTGTCCCACCACACCGGGGAGGCATATGAAGAAAACAAAAATCAGATCTAAACGACTCGAAATATACCGTTATGAGTAAAGTAAATGAGGTTTCAATCAAAACACCGACAGTAAAAGTGAATGGGTAAAGTCGAATACGGAATGAGAAGAACAGTGACTGGGCGTTTTGGTTGTGGTTCGAATTGGCGCTCTAAGAAACTGATGCACTTGTATCAGCGATTTGGAGCACCTGACCGACTTAGCCGCCCCCAACCAAAGTTTTATATGCATAACCCGGAAAAGCTTTATGCACCCTTACGAGGGAACTTTCAGCAATTCATTCGAATTCATTAAATTGAAATCAGTATGAGTAATATATTCAAAGGGATTCACTAACAGAGAGAAGTAAACCGGAGGGTGGTGATTATTGGCGGCTTTATTGGAAATAGAGGCTATCTCAAAAAGCCTGTAGCTCTAGAAAATCACTTCCGTGGACAGCAGAAAGGCACAGAAAGTTGTTCAGAACAACCTCTCAATAGCTCGGGTGACAAAAAGAAAAGGCTTCGTTGGCTTTGCAGCGTTTGCTGAGAACCTCAGTGGCATCGATGGGTCGCAGGTGGACAGAGCGAGTAGGCATAGTTGCTTTGCATAAACTGATGAATTAGATCTTAAAAACTCGGAAGGTGGTTTTTCCATGCATAAGAAAGCTGCTTAAAGACAGCCACATCTAATGACAACTTTTGTTGCCAAGATGAGACCCTAGAGCTGATCGGGCCAACGAACTTGATTACTGAAAGGTAAAGATAAGCGCTACAATAAACCTTGTGCAACAGGCATAATCTTCCGCCGAAGGCATTTCAGAAA